ACACAAGACCAGACACAAGACCATGCACAAGACCAGACACAAGACCAGACACAGGACAAGTCACAAGACCACAGCACAAAACCAGTCACAAGTAAGCTCGAGGGTGAACCAAGACAAAGGAATTCTTTTGTTGAAGTTCATGTGAATAGCTTGTGACTAGAATTCAGACTGGAGGTCTTGTGTGGTCTTTTGAAGGTCTTAAAATGGTCTTGACTACAACACTGGTATCAGCCATCAGAAAGTGGTAATATGTTGCAACATCTCTCTTGGGGTAGAGAGTCGCTATCATAAAGAATGAGAGTCATTGGACTGACTTATACACACACTACTGCTTTATTCCGACGAATTTTTTTCATCTTCTTCATATTTACAATGACCAACTGCTACTAGTAAAGCTGGATATTACTCAAGTACTGCTCGTCCAAATCTGAGCTATTTATTCGGGAGTGATAGAAGGGTTGTTCATATCGGAGCTATACACTCACGAATGGTCAGGGAGTTGTTTCTCCGAAGCTGCCCGCGCGGGAATGATCAATGCTGACCGCTAGAGCTGGTCGTTTATATAGACTTTTTGGGCCGCGTCTTAGTCAATGGGAGCAGTGGATTGGGGTGGTTATGAATAATTCATACATGTAGAAAGTTTATGGAAGAAAAGCCTATGGGGATTTTGTACACACTTGGTCTTCGCTGACTCAGATTCTGTAGAACGATAAGGTCTGAGAAGTTCGGGAGCGGGAGGCTGAAAGGCTGTTTGTGGGTGAGCTACGGGGGAATTGGTCAACGAGGGAAAGGAAAGGGTGAGCCTTTCTCAGTTTATTGGGTTGTGTACAACACTTAGTCTCTAGATGGCTAGGAAATCTACATGTAATTCTCACCGGCTGAGGGTGAGCGGAGGTAATTGACCTCGCTGTGCCGTGACTGGACCAGGCTTTCGGTGTGTGCTTTGGTGGGACACATATGGTTGGAGTTGGGGGTCTGTGTGGGTCAAATGTACGGGTTATATGTGCGACTGAAAGTAGGATCGACTCCGCAGAAGATTTGGGGGAAAATGACCAAGTTGGAAGTGTGCTTTGGAGTTGCGGTTCAAGGGCATGTTGCAGCATAGAGCAACAGGGTCGTGCGTGGAATGCAATGCGCTGTGTACAATGCATGTAGTCTAGATGGTCATTGCGCGCTCGCTGTGGGGTAAGTGGTGTGTGTAGTAGCGTGTACAATATAATCTACATGCATATCAGGGAGTGCAACACTGTCATAAAAAGTGAAACAAAATTCTGAAGAATTTACTTAGCAATCACCCAGTGTTTTTTTTTTTTCAGACCAGTCTCATAGGTTTGTGGCTTTGTGCAGAGGTATTAAGTGTTGTCCCCGGAGTTGGAACTCTTTCCTTCAAATTTAGAGAGACTAATTTTAATTGGACATTTCTATACCTTGATATTGACCTTGATATTTTGCTAAGTAGAGTGTCAAGTGCCGCACCTTGCTGGGCTCAAACCCACAACCTGTAAACCTCGGCACACCCAATACAATGCCCCATCCACAAGTGAAGACGAGACGCTTGCCACACGCTGTGGTCTTATTGTCATGCAACCATTTTTCTTCATAGCAGCGCCCAGGTTTTCCTATTGTCCCTCCTCAATGACAAATACAACGGACAATGCTAACGGGAGGCGGGTAGTTGCCTACTCCATACCACGGGCTCCTGGCTTCACTGTCAGGTATGAACCCACAATTATTGAAGCGTTGAAAAGAGTGACAGAAATCCGGAATAATGTTCATGAATGCCTTTCGTAACTGCAGGCTTTTCCAATATGCTTAGGGCCTACGAAAACCTTTGAGGACCTACTAACAGGAAGTAGTCCATAGAAACTCAAACCTTGCTGAAAAAAAGGAAAAGTTTTTGACAGTTTGAGTGTCTCTCTCTGAAATTTAAGTTTTGGAAGGCTTCAAACTATTGCCGCTATAAGTCATAGCTTTGACTTGAAAGTCTAATTTTGTCAAGTGTGTTTCTTTCATTGTGGAAGTAAGTAAGCAATAGACATTTGGACACAATCTCTAAGTCTAACAAAGGCCTTGCATTAACCCTAACCCTCCTCAATCCTTCACCTGTTGGAGGATTGAGGAGGGTTAGGGTTAAACATGAAAGGCAAGGACCCACTCTGTAAAATGTGCTGTTAAATTACCGAGAGATTGGCACCTGCCTAGACAAAAGTAGGGCCTTTGGAAGACTGGGGTCTGTGGCATTTTGATGATGTGTTCAGTGTGAACTGTTCACTTGTGTTTTGAATCAGGATGATTTAGTTGCTGGATTCTGTATGCAGTGAGCATTTTTGTGACCCCACTGATGATGCTTTTTGTAAGTTGGCCAAATCTATGCTGATATAGGTTGTGATCAACCCGAAAATATAGAGTGTCGACCGCAATTGGCAAATCAACCAGTCCTGTCTTTTGCTGTTGACAGGCGAACGTGTGGGCCAGCATCGGGAAGTGTTTTCGATGAAGGAGTGCACACTATAACGCATGAAGCAAGGAACAGTGCAGGCCAGAGAGCCTACTGTACATTTAAAGTCACAGTAACTGGTATGCCATTGTAGTTGTAACAAAATGTTTGACTACCAGTGCACATGTTCTTAAAGAACACTGGAAGTCTGTCTTTAAAGAAGTATAACTCATTAGGTCAGTGTATCTCAACTTTTATTGAGATGTTAACAAAGCCTAAAGGAGATCATCTCTACTCTCTGGATAAGAAGCAAGTCAATGTAGAAGATATACTCTTCAGCTACATTGTTGGATCTCCACTGAGTGGAACGTTAGTAGGCCTACTCCTCTTTTTCGAATTTTCACGCAGTAGGGATACTCTCTAGCTAATGATTGTCCCACTTTATTTTGCTGGAAAGACAAGTTGGCATAAAGTGCCTTGCCTAAGGACACAGTCTATGGCCAGCATTGGGTTCGTGCCCATCAGTCCCTGTTCCTGAGTCTCACAAAGCCTTAGCCACAAAAACTACAGCCTTCTTTGTGAGATCTGAAAGTGCACCCGTTCTCTATGATTAACAGTCCTGCGATGTCCAAATATTCCATCAAGCAGTCATCGCATGTTTAGCTGCACCAAGTCTGTCATTAGCGGCTCGGAGTGCACCTTCAGTTGCCGGCACGGATACAGGCTCGTCGGTTCCAACTCCCTAACCTGTCAAAATAACGAGAGATGGACCAATGATTTCCCAACGTGCCAAGGTAGGTGGAAACCACAGCAACTTCAGGAGCAGCCGAAATGAGCCAGATCGGTATTTAAAACGAGCAAGGATGGTCGAGTTTGGCATGAGACTGTGCTGATGTGGTATGTGCATCCAAACATTGACATTGAATCTCTAGAATGCCAGACCTGGGACGAGCTTCGTTTTGGGTAGGTGCTGGTGAATTACCCAACTGGTTCATTGGGGGACCTAAAATACACTTTGTGCACCACACACAGGTGAAACATATTCCGACCATGCCGAGCCGTTGTTCTTGATGGCCAGCTCTGTGAACAAACTTTGTGCACAAATCATATTGCCTACTCAACTGAGCCTACCCTGGCAGTCCAGCTTCTGGGCTGTTTTTGTCGTTTTCATCACAGAGGAGCTTGGCATGACATTTTGTTCACGAGTCAAATTGTTAACAAGAATTCCAGATAATGAACACGGGACTCGACGCAATTTTTTTGCAGCGAGGACGTGCAGTCCCCGACAAACCTCCATCCCCGACGGAAATGTCTCCTGCTCTGACTCCAACCTGTTTGGTAGCGTATGCACCTTTGCCTGTAACCGCGGCTTTGGGTTTCAGCCTGGCGACACGGCCACCCGCACCTGTGGGTCAACCTGGTCCGGGAGTGTGCCAACCTGCATAGGTATGTTTGTCCCTGGTCCCTGGAGAATGCAACTCTTGAAGTCCACCCCCCCAAAAATGAACAGAACTGTAAGAAGCCTATGATGACATACTATAGATGGCACACTACGTCGCCCCTTCCGGGCTTGAGGCAAATAATGACGGCTCTGGCCCCTTGCATTGTGCCATAGTATCAAGTCATCGCTTCCTTGCCTTTACGTTTTACTCATTCTTCTGTTGCGTTGTTCGTTGCGCAATGCCATCACCCGGCGCATCACGTCAAGTCGTCCTCTCTTTGCTTTTTTTTCTGCCTAACGCTGAACACCATAGAGTTTCACTCTCTTCATTTGACACTAGACCGGCATCCGATAAAATAGCTGTGTTCAAAAGACAGATTCAGTCTAAAGGCGTTAGAAGTTACCTGATAATTAAGATAGCTTTTTGCTGGTGGGCCCATTTGGACTTTTCAGTCAGTAACAAAGCACATTACGGTGCAATATACGCTGTGCTCATTGAATTGTCAACCCTAACCCCCAAGGGTTGCTGGCCCTAACCTTCCCCATTCGCACAAAGTTAAACACCCATGGGACTCTGTGCGCAGAGGCTGTTGTACTTAGTTCTTCTGAGGTATGCCAAACCCAATGCAAAAGTCAGCTGTTATGGGCCTACCAGACCTATCCCCACAGAATGAAACACTTTACTACTGTTTAATTCTGTGAGGGTGGGAGAGGTTATGGTTCAGGAGAGAAATCAGTGTTTAAACAAAGTGTCTGTTGTAGCCGGTATATCCGTAGTTACAGGGGACTACTTCAGTCAGCCTGTATCATTTCTTGAGGTTTTTTTGTGTGGGGTTCTTGTAATGTTTGGCAGACGTCGAGCCTCCACGGTTTACCCGCTGGTAATGAGCCTGCAGCCTCTGACTTAAATTGCAGTACTGTAATGTTTGGCTCTTTTGCATCTTACTTGATGTTTTGTGGCATTATCAGACTTACCATTGCGCTTACAACTTCAAAGTCAGGTAGTAAAAAAAAAAGTCGAAGCCTGAGACGGAGACAAAGTCGAGTATTGGACTCAGCAGACTATTTTTTGAAAGAGTTGTTGAATGAGGATTTAAAATCGATATCGAAACCCTGCAAAGTTCTTTAGTTCTTCCAAGCGTATTTTTGGGTGCAATTTTTCTTGCCAACTAGAATTGAGCTGCCCGCCCCTAGCTGCTCCCCCTCACGGCAGGTTCAGACAGCCCTGCGACAATACCTTTGGTTCCTGGTGCTACTTGGTCTGCGAGGAGGGTTACAGTGTCGCAGGGAGCGCGTCGCGACGCTGCACAGAGTCTGAAACCTGGGATGGCACCCCCACCGAATGTCGAAGTAAGGCCATTGTCAAAGTACAACTTGGCTACGGCTGGCGGCTATACACAAGGGTTGATGAGAAGCCACTATCTATTGGCTTTTGTGTGTGTGCCTTTTTTAGCCGTTTTCAGGTAATGTGAACAAAGCCTAAGAAGATGGAGATTTTCCAAAGCATAACTTTGTCTTAGGCTTTGGCTGTAGTCTTCGTCATGAATTTCGTCTCCTGATGTAAAACTGAAGTGTGTCTTACAAAGCCAAGCCTGAAATACACTTTCATCTGTTACAATTTGGAGCAGGAATTTACAAAAGGGCTTTTATAATTCACCCAAAGTCCAGGGAGATTTTTTGGGGGGAAATACAACTTTTTCTTTTTTTTTACTATTGCCTGCTTGGTCACAGTTAACATGTGCCAGAAGTTAACGCCAGGTCCCGGCCTGCAAGTGGTCCCTGTGTACACCTGTCCGGCAGGGAACTCGGTACCCTACAATAGCATCTGCTGTTATACCTGTGAGGACGGTCACATCATGCACGGAGCATCAGCGCTGGTGTGCGGTGCCGACGGCAGCTGGCTGCAGACTTTACCTGTTTGCCAAGGTGACGTCACCCTGTTACATACCCATTTAGATTCTAGTGCAGAGAAAGCTGATAATCTTCAGTGCCCAGTGTGTGACAGAAGTGTGTTGTGCGTTAATGAAAGCTGTTTCATTGCTCATTGGCAAGCCTTCATAGACCTGTCATTATTAGCAAAGGGGCCGTCCATTTTTCTTTGTCGTTTTCGTGAGCATACAAAGAGTTGTCTCTTGTTTTTATGGAATCCTCCCCCGTGGAAGAGTACAAACTGAAACAGAGAAAGAAGGTTTCTTTGCCGGTTACCATCCTCAATTTAAGCATTTTTTTAAAAAGCACACATGTTCCCCTATGCCCCTTGCGGCATGTGATTTGTATGTTCTTGATGGACCAAGTGGATGACGCAGCACATCTCGGGTCATCCACTGACGAGTCATTAATGACTGTTCAAACTTGTGCATTGGTATTTCTTTGTCACTGTTTGTCCCCCGCGGCATTTGCGATTTGACATTGTGGCGGACTCAAATTGTGATGGACCCGACTTTGGTCTGTGTTTGTTTGGGGGGGGCATTTCAAGAAAAGTAGAAATGATCATGCAGGTAAGTTAGAGGATGTGATCTGTGAAAAAACTTTCCCGTGGTTACCCAAAAATTTACACGTGAAATTGTTTATCATTTAAATCCGAGAATGACGTCTTTCAAGAACTGTTTTATTTCATTTCAATTCACTCTCTTCTACATCAATTGTTCCGATCAGGTGAAGGGGCAAAGTTAAGGAGGGCACCAGTGATTTTTTTTTTGTGTGTGTGCAAACTTGCATACACACTTGAAATATGGATCTCATCGTCACAACTCATTAACAGGCACTCTTGGTTGAACTTTAATAAAAGACTATATTTCCAAAACAGAAATTACGTGTTCAAGCAACGATCTTCCAGCTCCGGTCAACGGTATGAAGAGTGGCTGTAGCGGGCAGCGTATACCTTACGGCACGACGTGCACACTGTCCTGTAACCACGGATACACCCCGACTACGACCACACAGAGAACGTGTCAGAGGGACATCAGTAACCTGGGCGTGTGGTCTGGTGGAACAATAACATGCACAGGTGAGGCGCAAATGGCCTTCTCCAATGAAAGGAGCTCCTATCGCCCGTTGGACTTGTCATTGCGTCATGAGGTCCTCTTGAGGTCCAAGCAGGGCCAGGAGAGGGCGCAGTTGTCCTCGCAACGGAGGCTCCCTTGGTGGGAACTGCAAATTGCTGGTTCATGAACGACTGTGAAATGCACGCGTTACGGTCGTGTCACTACCAACAAAATGAACGCCCCTTACCAACATGGCTCTTTCCAAGCAATGAGGGGGTGCTTCTGCTCAAGGCTGATAAAGGGGACTGCAGCTTGATGGTCCAAGGTTCAGTTCTTGTGACAGGAGGCGTAAATGTTCGAAACTGTATATTTGTTCCATGAGACTGGTGGCTGTTGAGTATAAAAAGCACCCACCAGATCCACCGCTTTGACCCGCAGTTCGATCCCTGGGCCAGGCCATTACACGAGCAAAGGTGGTCATTGACTCTCTCCCACCTCTTGCGAGTTTTCTCTCTCCGGTTTCTCTGGCTTCCCTTCCTCGGTAAAAATCAACATTTTGTGTTGCCTTTTTGCGTCGGTCAACCACTCTGTAGTTGCTTTCTTTGTTTAAAATCATAATAATAAAAAATTTGAAGGAAAATGAATGATTTTTTTTTTTTTTTTTTCAAGCTGTGACTTGCCCTCCACTTGCAAACCCGCCCAATGGTTTCATCTCGACCTGTGTGCGCAACGGGCAGGAATCGGCTGTTAGAGATCGTCAGCAGTTTGACACAGCGTGCACTGTAGCGTGCGACAGTGGCTACACCCTACGGGGCACCAACACTCTTACCTGCGTGGTATCTGGTGCTTGGACCGGGACCAGCTTGGAATGTACAGGTACAGATACCCAAGTGATTGAGATAAAGATGGAAAACTGTAATTAACCGCTTGCCAATGGCATTGTGTTTTAGCTGGAAATTTAGACATTTTGAAAGATTTAGCAGCCGGTTTCTGATACACGGCCAAGTTCCACAAGTAGTGAATTGCTAGAGTCATTTGAACAGTATTTGCGTGATGATGTTTGCCACAGCAACCTTGTATTTTGCAACACTCTGGGGCGCGCCCATGGAGCGATATTGCTGCTACCACAGGCTTTGTGCAGTGGCCATGTTCAAGTTCACCGGACTTCTTGGACTTGGTCAGTGTGGGTAGAAAACAAATAGGTAGATCAGCTTGTTTAGACGTCAGCTGGCACCGTGTCAAGGTGCAGTTGACGTTTCTCAGTCGTGCCCAAACCTGCAGAAAGCTGGGTTGTGTTTGCACGTCCTCAGGTGCAAAGTGATAATCACGCAAATCTTTTTTTGTTTTTTCCTCCTTCCAGACGAGACCAACCCGGTTGTGCAGTGCCCTCTCGACCAGGTCATCTTTGCCGGAGAAGGGCAGAGTAGGGTCTCCATATCGTGGCAGTGGGAACCAGTTATGGTAACCATGACAACTCCTGAGCTTCCCCTTGATACTTTTCTTTCTGCCCTCAAAATTGAAAGGACCCATGGAATACCTTCTTTTTTTATAATTTCCATTTAACTTCATAGTTATTCGCAGTTCACACACTGCTGCTTTGTGTCTCATTTGAGTTTATTTGTTTATTTAGGACGTATGCTTTCATTTCTACGCCACTGTGAAGTTCCACATTGTTTTTCCTTGTGTATTGGTTTCATTTCATTTTGTGTCATTTCGTTTGTCTTGTCTGGCTTTTTTGTGTTATGTCTCATTTCTTTTTGGTTCGTCTTGTCTCCTCTCCTGTCCGGCCTGTTTCCTGATCACAGATGGGGGGGGATTTGTCAAACCCAAAAGTGGAACTTTTGTCACTGTGAACACACATTTTTATACAAAAGCTTTGGAATGCAACATGGAATGGTATGAACATTGCTGTGTCAAAAATTTGTACTTACTTAAAAAAAACAAACTAACAAGTGGAACTTGAAAGCAAGCAAGGGGTTTCATTTGAGCCGCACCCCCCCAGCTTGTAGGCCTGCCTGTCATCTCATTTCATTTTGTTCGAGGTCAGTTTTTGCTGTCTTCAATTTTCTATTTGCACATGAAATTCCCCACGTAATAATGTGAGTGCCTACTAAGTCACAAGATAGTAATGGCTCCCTCGAGCAACTTTTTATAATTGATAAAAAGTTGATCTTGTTTTTTTCATCCTGACAGGCGAGAGATGCAGGGAGTGACATACCTGCCATTTTACAGAGCATCGACTCGAACCCATTCAGTGCTCCCAGGCCTACCAGCCTGGGGGAGGGAATCCACTTACTTGTCTACTCTGCGACGGATGCCTCTGGCAACACAGGATCGTGCGTCATGCGAATCGAGGCCAAGGGTCAGTTACAACAGGGCTGATTTAAAGACCAAAACTTGTGGAAATTTTCCAAATCTCAGACAGGCTTTTGTGTCCGACGTCAAAATCGTTTGTAGGACTGCAAATGTTTTAAAATGACGTTATAAGCAGTCATCCTGAGATCGGAAACACGCAGTTCAGTGTTCTGCCGGCTGAATTAACCGACTTTACAATGAGGTCAGACCTCGAAAGTTGGGGTAGAAATATGTTGTAGCGAGAGACAGAGGTAAAGTGGAAATTCAGACCCTGAAGCCGTGAAGGGGTGCCAAAATTAAATAAAGGGGCACGCACCAATTTCGTCTCTTGAAACTTTTTCTTCCAGTGGACACACAACGCAACCCGTGTACAAGAGAAGTGCCACTTATTTCAAAAAATTTCAACTAAAACAAAGAAAATTTCAGACGTTGTAGGGTTCATGTAATGATATTTTGGTTAACACTTGGGCTCTGCGGGACAAAGTTAGGGGCCCAAAGAATGGTAATTCACTCTGACCAACCAATGGAGGCGTTCTCATTGTTTTTTCAGTTGCCAGATGCCCCGGCTTGAATGCTCCTACGAATGGAGCCATACAGCTCGTAGCGGGTCAAGGCTCGTGTGCGCAGGGCGCCGTCCACGGCTCGCAGTGCGAGATCACCTGCAGTGTCGGACACGTCTTGTCAACAGGGGGCGCTACACTGAGAAGGCAGTGTAACCGTACCAGCGACCAAAGCAGCCAAGGGTACTGGAGCCTGGAACAGCCCACGTGCGAGGGTATGTTTATCAGACTCACGACACCAGCGTCAAACCTGTGTGAAACTCGACAACTCACGGCACAAGAATCGAGCATTGCATATCACACTCCTTTAGAAGGTTTTCGTTCTCGGCGCGAAGGAGCTCGGGGAAGGGATCTTTTAATCCTGAGTGGGGGGGGGACGGTCATTTGGTGGGAGGCAGAGCCTTACATCCCATGCCTACTGCCCATCACCCTGCACTTGTCAAGTGACAGAGAAATTGCAGAGACATCTCGGCCGTGCCTAACGTTTTTTTTTTTTCAAGTTTGGACTCTGCTTTTTTTTTTTTGTCTGCCTGGTATTCAGCAAACTCCTGTCCTCATCCAGTCATCGCCAATGGCTACATCACCGGTTGCCAGGGCAGCGCTGCCTCATACGGGGAGTCTTGCGAGTTCCGATGTGACCCAGGCCGAAGGTCAGCCAGCGGACACACTCGCCTTAGCCGTGAGTGCCAAGCTGACGGCTCATGGAGTGGAACTGACTTCCAGTGCACAGGTATTTACAAGAAAATTGGAATAATGACGGTAACCGCATACATGGCACCAGTGATGACTGTGGTGCCATTTGATAATTTGTCCGTAGTTCTTTTCGTGTAAAATTGAGGCCCAATATCCCATTGAGAGTGTGCACGTACGTTGCTGTATCCGCCCTGAGTTGAAGTACACCCCCCATCGACAAAGCAGAGACGGACCAGTGGGAAGTTTTCCAACCATGTCTCATGCAAGCACCCGATGCACACTAAACATTCATACAGAAAGGTGGTGTCATACTCAGCATGTCAGACGCCAAAAGCACATGAACCTGTGCGCTAGCGATGACTTCCCACCTAAAGGACTATATGTATATTTGCTTGCCAAAACACGCCCTCTGTTGTTCCCGCTAGGAGCAAATACCCACATACCTACTGCAGGGGTTGCCGATCGCAGGGAAAACCGGTGGTTGCGTAGTACTTGATCGCTCCTTTTAAAACATCAGTTCTTTCTCCTCGACTCTCCTCAGAGATGGTGACCTGCCCCGGCCCCTTCTCCGTCACGAATGGGTCCGTAGAGCCCGCCCTCTGTCGTCAGGACCGGGCCTTGCCTTACGGTACAGTGTGCCGTTTCTCTTGTGCCAACGGTTTCCGCCTTCAAGGACCCACCAACAACACCTGCAGTGCAACTGGTGCCTGGGACAACCCCCACAGTACCGTCTGCCTGGGTAAAATAATTTTATTGACGGTTAATAAATACATCAATTCGTTATCTATTCATTCAGAACTGACTAGTTTAGTCGTGTCTGTCATTTAAACTGAAAAGTAAAGATTCCAAGTATGTATTCTAAGTAGTTATGCCCCTGTTTGTGAGCAGGGCTGCAACCTGCAGTGAAAATAGATTCTCTACTGTTATATTTGAAAGGAAATATTTCTTTGTGATGACCGTACTCTGAATGAAATAACTTGTGAAATCAGAGTGCCGTCGTAAGAATTGTGGTAATAATTCTCTTTTTTCGGGGGGGGGAATAATTTTATCACAAGTGCGTTGTTTTTTTTTGCCCCTGGGAAAAAAGTGAACTCAAAGAAAAGAGTTTCTTGTGTTGACAAGTTATAATTTTGTGGGCTCCATCTGGTCCGTCTAGACACACAGTCTCCGAGTTTCGACAGCAGCTGCCCACTCTCCGTAGTGGAGAGAAGCGACAACGGCTCCACGTCCGCCATTGTGAACTTTGACGCACCGACTGCAACCGACAACTCGGGATCGGTCACTGTGAATAGGTGAGTGAATCTGAGGGGGCACAGGGAAGGACGTTCCCCCAGCCCCCAGAAAAAAAAGGAGCGAGGGATAGCAAGTCCCAATAAATTGGGGGGAAAAAAAGGAAATGAAGGGAATGAACAATCTCCAGTATGCTTGAGAATGAGCAAGAAATTAATGTCCTTCCACCGTTCGTGGTTTGTCAGTTTGTTGCTGCCAGTCAGAGCTTTGTCAATAAATCCTGGGAGATGCTTTTGACCAAAGATTGTATAGCGCCGAAGGTACAAGATGGATAACTCTGCCCAAAAGATGTAATTACCATGGGCGCCATTTGAGCAAGCGATACGCTTGCGCAGTTTACGGTAATGTTTAGGCGCAGGCTCACTAGGTGCACGTGCCTGCCGCGGCGCATGCGCCTTTGCATTAATGTACATTGCGGAGGCGTATCTCTTGCTCGAATGGCGCCCATGCGATTACCATGTTTTACGTGAATTCACGGTGAAGTTCGTCATCTTGCGCCGCTACGCGGCACTATACGATATTTGCTTTTGACTACAAAGTCAAAGTGATCTGCATAAGTATCTATTTCCTTGTCCTCTTCTGTATTTGGCAGACGATCTGGCCATCCGGCCCCAGGCAGTAGGTTCCCGGAAGGCATGACCACCGTCACCTTCTATGCAATAGATCCCAGCGGCAACACCGCACATTGCGATGTCACGGTGACAGTTACGGGTGAGCCAAAAAAAAAAAAAATCCTCACAGAAATTCATGTCTGTGACCAGTCTGAATAGGCAGTACATGGGAAGGCAGTTTTTAGAACCAGACAGGATTAATCCCATTATGACCTTGAAGATCTCAGCCGTCTCGTGACCAGTCTTTCCAAACATTACATTCAAAGTGCATCTGTGACTTTTGAACCCTGAATTGATGTTTTTTATACTTCCGGTCTTTGGCAGTGTACCAAAAGTTGGCCACTGTCGAGTACCAAAGTGAATATGTCACTCGCACAATTATGTGTGTAATAGGCATTAGTGCGAGAACCAGCGTGTGAACCAACAGGCGCATACACCTTTCCTTTGCACTACACTTTCTGGTTCAAAATGATGTCACACTTCGATGTTCCGTATTGATCTTGCACTTTTCCAAGGTTGAAATATCGGGCCAAAAATGACGGTGTCTGCAAATGGTTCAGATATGCTGCGTCTACTCACCGTTCAGGGACACCTTCTGGTTAGTGCTTTGTCTGTTTACCAACCACCTTCCCATTTACCGTTGATCGATTTGTCCTCCCCAGTGAACCGTTGTCAGATGCTCTCGGCTCCGGCGTTTGGCTCCATCCGCTGCAGCTTCGCCAGTCCGGTCGTGGGCACCGAGTGCAACTTCACCTGCAACAGAGGGTACACCTTGAGTGGATCAACGACCGCAACCTGCCGGCTGACAGGCAACGGCATGCGCTCCTGGGACGGGCAGACCCCTGCCTGTACAAGTAGGTGTATACCCACAGGGCCCACGTCGTTCTGTCAGCGTTGTTTCAACATTGCCGTTTAATGTTGAAACGGCTTTGTGCCCAGTTATTTGCCTGCTAACAAGTTTTTCCAGCATGCAAAACTCCACTTCTTTTCTGTGTTCAATCTTCTGCCGAAATTCCTTTGTAATCAACGATTGTGAGATTCTTACAAGGAGTTGGGTTGGCAGACTGACTTTTTCTCCGCCTTTCAGCTCTACGACCGGCATTGAAATCCCACCCACACCAACACTTGGATGAGACTTTTCACATCCACTGTAATCTTTGCCATGTCTCAGCAAGTCCATCTTAAGTCTGTCATGAGTCGCCCATTCTTCTAGATGCATGTTTAAACCACCAGCTTCAATCAAACAAACTTTGACAAAAGCTTTCCTCCGTCGTTGTTCCCCCTGTTACTCATGACTGGTCTCGTGAAAGGACCCGTAAAAGGTCTTGTGACTGAATCAATTTCAGCACAGCTGGGGCGTATAGTTGCACTGTAACGGCAGCGGAACGATTTTCAAAGTGGGAGGTCCAGTTGTGAGACCATGAGGCATCAGTCCTTAGTAGGCCGATCCGGTACCATTGCTGGAGCAGCCAAAAGTGAAGGGGTCACTGACTGCCCCCTTCCCAATCCCCCTACCCACTTCCGCGCCAATGTTTCACTGACGTCCTTTCCTTCATCCTAGTTGTACAATGTCCCTCTCAGCCTACACCACCCAATGCCGTCCAGCTGGGTTGCAGCAGCGACTTGTCCTCCGCTGAGACCTTCGGCACTGAGTGCTTCTTCTACTGTCAGTCTGGCTACCGAGCACTTTCCAGCGACGGCGGTAGAGCCCGCTGCCTGGAGAACGGAACCTGGTCCGGGACCGATCTCGTCTGCACCGGTAAGCATCGTGTACTGGCCCCAGTCCAACACCCCTGTTGTATATTGCCCAATCTCATCTAGAGAGTGATCTTAAGGTCCAGGAGCCACCATGGTAACTTGATTAAAAAGGGGAGCAATTTCTCCAGTTTCTGAAATTTCCAGAACATCACCAAAAAAAATTCTGAAATTGTTCCGTTGATTTTCACATACTTTATTGTCTACAAACTTTTGGCAGGCATAGATTACCTCTATCTGCATATTTTTCAGTACAGTTTGAATACAGAATTCTTCAGTTTTCTTGGCATTTGTTTGTGTGTTGATCTTTCAACTTATTTGAAGTAATAAATAGGGGGGCACCCCAGACATTACGTCATACTCAAATCTGTTTGATATTAGGATATCAATCTAACTTCTACATTAACCCTAACCCTACATAATACTACAAATTACTACTTGTAGTAAAATGTAGTACAGAGCGCTGTCGCTTGTAAGAGGACACGACCTTATTGTTCTGTGAAGCCATAAGATACAATAGATAAGACAATGTACCATACAGTGCTGTGGCACCATGAATGCATGGCTTTATTCTCTGTATGAGTAACAATGGAAGTAACCTAGCCAGAAGTAGTAATTTGTAGCGCTAGGTCCTTCAGGCTCAGGCTACTACTTAGTATTTTGTACTTACTGAGTACTGTAAGCCAAACAATATGCTTGGCGGTTGGGGTAGAACAGTGTCAAAATGAACATCTGGCACCTGTTCTTCTGGGACACATATATATGCCGCCAGAATACTGAAAATCAGTTTTGGTCTATTTTGATAAGAAGTTGGGCAAGTTCCTCTTAGGCTTCAAACTGAAATCACCTTGCTTCACTCTCCAAACGTTGACCAAAAGCCCTCCTTAAACAATTGAATGTGAGGTGTCGGATCTGGCAGTTGAAATACCGGAAACTTTTGATACTTGACAATTTTTGAAAATTTGCCATGACCAATGTGGACAGTGTAAACTGGCCAAACACTGCCGTGTGAGTGTTAATTCAACTTTCGTAAATAAGATCTCTTCCTTTTCCTGTTTGTTTCAAACTTGATTGGTCGTTGGCATACAGAGACTGAGTGTCCAACCCTGAGTCCGCGTGACAGAGTTACCCTGACCCCAGCCGCCTGCAACAACCGGCCAGTCTTTGGGCAAAACTGCTACCTGTCCTGCCCTGGGTCCGGCTATGAAATTGACCCCCGCGGGAGCGACTATATCACCTGCCTCAACAACGGAGACTGGTCCAGGAACATCTCCAACACCACCTGCGTCGGTGAGTGCGACCCATGTTTTTTGACCGTCACTCTGAACCTGTGGTTTTTCTGATCCAGTTTTGGCGTTTTCATCATCTGCCAGAGATGGGTAGCTGAAACTTTGTCATGGACAACATTTGGGAGAAAAAAAACCCCAAAATGTGAAATTTTTGACGCTGGTCAGTGAGCCCCATTAACAACCATGAGAAAGTGATGTTTTGAAAGCTGATTGGTCCACTGCTAACATGTGAAAGGTCACATGATCCTTCAAGCACTTCATGGAGAGCTGTTCTTTTGTCAGTATCTTAAAACGTGGCTGCTTTAGAAAGCTGAATATGAACATACAAAGAGCATGTGAACGTTTCAGTGCGCTTTGGGATTTTCCTGGCAAGGAAAAAAGGTCAAAGTTTTAAGGGGTTTGCCCTGATTTAGAAGGGTATTGAATGTGGCTGAATTTCCATACTGTTTCTCTATCATCCAGATTGGCAAGAACCTCGCTGGGCAACTCGTCCGCCGATCGTGATCGTCCACCTCGAAATTGGCCAGACGGCAGCTCACGTGAACTGGAACATTACCGCCACGGATAACTCTGGCACCCCACCGTCGGTGACTTGCAGCCCGGGACCCGGCCAATTTTACCGGGGAGACCACTTGGTGATGTGCACGGCCACGGACACGGCCGGGAACCAGGCGTTGCATCACTTTGAAGTGAAAGTGCAGGGTTGGTATACACACAAAGAGAACACTCAATCTGACAGGTCATCTTACAAACGGATTCTTACCGTTGCCATTAATCCTTTGTATTACTGTGCGTGTTGATCATCAGTCAGTCATTTACTCTTTGCAATACATGTGTGGTTTAATCGTTCATCTGACCACCTTAAATAGTATTCACCTTGAGCAGAAGCACCCCCTCAATTGGTTGGAAAGAGCCATGTTGATTTGGAGTGTTCGTCTCATTAGTAGAGCCGTTAGTGAACTAACGATATGTAGTTTCGACCAAAGCAGCCTCCATGGTTAGGAAAATTGTTGTTTGTCTTGGCCCAGCTTGGGGCCCATAATAAACACAATGACATCCACTTGAAATGTTTATTATAGCAGTCATTTGGTATGTCCGTTGCAAGATATCTATGCATTTTTAATGTGATTGTGCATTTTCTCCAATGCATATTCATTAATTTCCTCCCGTTGGGCTGTCCTCAGTGGAAATCAATTGGCAAAAGTAATTAACGGTTTCCCGTAAACTTTCCGTGGGTCATCACTTAAAAGTCACATGCGATTGGTTCCCGCGATGTAAATGGAACAATAACAGATGTGCCGGGAACCAGTCCATTGCACTGGAGTTGCAATTGTTCAGGACCGAAGTTGTCAACGTTAATCAGTAATCACTGTAGAAGATGATCGGAGCTAGAAAAGACGTTGGAAAAGTTGTTCTGTCGGTATGCAGGCCTGGGGGGTGGTCAGGGGATTCGATCAACCCGCCTGCTCGCCTCTGAGTTCCGCTCATTTTTGGGGGGTATTTTTCTTTTAAATGAAGATATATTTTCAATGTAGGTGTAATAATGTTCATACCATTTGATGTTGTGGTCATTAGGACTTCAACCATTGGAAGTATTTTACCCTTTTTTTGTATTTTTTGTCATTATGACAGGCCGTAGTTTGTCTAAAAATGTGTTCACAGTGACAAAAGTTCCACTTTGGGGTTTGACAAACCCTCCCCCCACCCCGTCTCTGGTCAGGCAACGGGTCTGGTGAGCCTGTTTTTTTTCTGTGTGTGATGCTGTTGTAAAGTAAAAATCCTTTGCTTTGATTTTCCACATTAGAGTCT